TGCTGAATTTGTGACACAAAAGCTGAATGTTTACAGCTGTTATGTTAAGCAAATTATTTTATGCCAAAAGCTAGTTTAGAATCTTAGCGTCGGCTGCTAGACTTTTTAAAAATTGAAACTTAATTTCTAAAAAACTGGGACCCTAAACTAAAATTATGGCTTCGACATTCCCTAGTTCTCAAAATTATCTTTCTTTCAACACAAAAATCATGAAAATCCGTCGAGTGGTTGATTCAGAACCGTGAAATAAAAAAACACTGTTTCGTTTTAATATTATAGATGCTTGCCTATTAATATATAGATTGATAATAGAATAAAAAATAAAATAAAATAATTGCAAAGATTACATTATGTTAGAATTTGATTTTACCAATTTTTAAAAAGTCATCTAATGTATAAAATGGGTTATCTAGTAACGAATTATAGAGTTTGTTTTTAAATTGATTTATTGAATATTTTCTAATCATAGGCTCAAAGATATTGTAAATTTTTAAAGATATCACCACATGGCTATCCAACGATTTAGTTAAGCGACAATATTGAATCGCTGCTTTAGTTTTGTTTTGGGTATTATAATTATGAATTTTATCTTCGAATTTTAATAGATGTTTAGAATATTGAAACATAATTAACAAAACCAAATTTTTTGTCGTTTGGACCATCCTTTCTGCCTGACCATTCGATGATGGATGGTATGGTGCAACCATGACGTGACGGATGCCATTGCTTTCATTAAACGATCGAAATTCTTGTGAAGTGAAAGCCAACCCGTTATCAGATACTATTGTGTCTGGAACACCATGTGTTGCAAAAAGGCTTCTGAGAACCTTTATAGTTGATCTTGAATCTGTAGAAGGCACCAAAACTACTTCTAAACATTTACTGAAAGAATCAACAACAATCAAAAACAACTTGTTTTGGAAAGGTCCAGCGAAATCTATGTGGAGACGAGACCAGGGTTGTTTTGTTTTCTCCCAAGGAAGAACCGTTGCTCTTGGAGGGTTGTGACGACTTTGTTGACATGCTTGACAAGAATTCACCATGTTTTCTATGTCTTGATCAAGTTTTGGCCACCAGAAATAGCTTCGGGCCAACGCCTTTGTTCGCACAATGCCCTCATGTCCCATGTGTAGAAGCTTCAGAGCTTGTTGCCTGAGAGTAGATGGAATGATCACCCTAGTTCTCCAAAGTAAACATTGTTTGTATTGAGAAATTGAATTTTGACGAGAAATGAAAGGCGTAAGGTTGAGATCTGAGTTATGAGTTGGCCAGCCACGTTGAGTCCATAAGATTACTTTTGATAGAAGTGGATCCTTTTCTGTTTCTTTTGCTATTATATTAGCAGTAATTGGTTTAACCTTATCGGATTCAATGTATAACACATCATTCAAGACTTCATTTATCTCTTGATCTACACCATTGGAGGAACATGGAAGACGACTCAAACCATCAGCATTCGGAATAGAAATACTAGGTTTGTATACAAGATCAAAGTCATATCCATTTAAAAGGATACTCCAGCGAATCATTCGAGGTGACAGTGTGTTTGGTGTTTGTTTATCCACAGTGAAAAGACCAAGAAGTGGCTTATGATCTGTTCTAATTTCAAAATGCCTCCCATATATAAAAAATTGTGAAATTTCTTAAACCCTCCAATGATGGAAAGTGCTTCCCTATCTACTTGAGCATATCTTCGTTCTGACTGACTCATTGTCCTGGAATATAACGCAATTGGAACTTCCTTTTCCCCCCGAACCTGACTAAGCACACAACCAATACCATAAGGAGATGCATCACAAGTTAGTATAAGATGGCTGGAGGGATTGTAATGAGCCAGTATACTATCGGAAGAAAGGAGCTTCTTTGAAGCATTGAAAGCAAGTTTATGTTTTTCCTCCCACCGCCATTTAACATTTTTATCCAATAAGCGATGTAAAGGTTCTGCAACATTGGCTTTGTTGAGTAAGAAACAGTGATAGAAATTGAGTAACCCTAAAAATGCCTGCAGTTGTTCCTTGTTAGTCGGCTCAGGAGCATCTTGGATGGATTTGACTTTGTCCGGGTTAGGACGAATTCTGTCTGAGCTCACAACAAATCCCAAGAAGTCCACTGATGTAGATAACAAAGAACACTTTTCGCTTTGGAGTGTAATCCCTACATCTCTAAAACGAGTGAATACTTGTCTTAATGTGGTAATCAATTCATGTATTGTTCCTGCTTTAACCAAAATATCATCAAATTAAGGGATTACATTGTCTAAGACCGAAAGCAAACCCTCAATAAAATGTTGAAATATAGATGGAGCTGAGCTAATACCGAATTGTAGTCTTTTTGGTTTAAAAGCACCCTTGTGTGTGATTAGTGTCTGAGCTAGCGCCGACTTCTCGTCAACAACCAATTGTTGATAAGCTTGGGCTAAATCTAACTTAGCAAAATATTTCCCTTGGTTTAATTTGGCTAAGAGCTGAGAGATTGGTGGATGATTGGTACAGATGATCTTGGATAGCTTTGTTTAACGTTGCCTTATAATCACCGCAAATACGTATTTTACCATTGCTTTTTACTGAAACAACTATTGGCGTGGCCCAATCTGATACCTGAACAGGTTCTAACACTCCCTGATTAACTAACTTATTCAGCTCTTCTTCTACTGGGGCCTGCAATGCATAAGGTAAAGGGCGCGCTCTTAAGTGAAATGGGTTATAATTCTGGTCAATTTCCAGTTCGATTGGAGACCCTTTATAACACCCTAAGGAATTTGAAAATACATCAGAAAATTCACTTTTCAGATGTTGAACATCCAGCTGGGCTTTACTTAGAACATCAGATTCATGGCAGTTGAGTGAAAGTACCCCGTTTACTTCAATATTAAGACTTTTTAGCCAGTTACGCCCCAATAAACTACTTCTATTACAGTTATGACTAACGGAAGGAATCCATTGAATTTACCGTATTTCACATAAACATTAGTCTGACCTAAAACACTTACAGGTTTACCACTGTAATCCTTGAGTTTCCAGGGAGAAGGTTGCAGTTTACAGTTTTTAAGGGAAATTTTATTCCATAGTTCCCCTCCTATGATAGAAACACCTGCACCAGTATCAACTTCCATTAGAACTTTGTGATTATTAATGTTGACAGTTGTACACAGTTCCGGAACTTTAGAGCAATTAACTTCCTGGACGTACTGAGTTGTCTCGTTACTTGATTGAGATGGAAACGTTTCTTCTTGTTCACAATTGGTTTCCTCTGACAAAACTTCATGAGCCCGTTGTCCCTTTGATCCATGTTTTTGGTTGAAATATTCTTTGGGGCGTGGTCTCCCTCCTTTACAAACTCGTGCTAGATGCCCGATTTTCTTGCAAATATTACAAATAGTCTGAAGGTGGGGACAATCCCTTCTAAAATGTCTTAGTCCACAACCAAGACAAACATTAGGCGTATCAGAGTGAGCTGGATTGTTGTTAAATGCAAATTTCTTGTTTGAATGGTCAATTTTATGTGCATTAGCAAAACTTGAGCTACTAAAAGAAAGTTCCTTACTTTGAGTTTGAAATAATTCATTTGACTTAGCTGCAATAACAACATCCTGAAGTTTTATAGTAGGTTCTTTCAAGATTATATTCCTTAACTCATCAGTCCTACATCCAATCAAAATTTGCATAATTAATTCCCTATCCAAGTCTTTGAATTCACAGTTCACAGCTAATGTTCTTAGCCGAGAATAGAAAGAGTTAAACGATTCTGCTTCTGCTTGACGACACTTCCTAAAATTAAATATTTCAAAAAGGACATTTTTGGTAGGAGCAAAATAGTCAGTTAATAATGTTATCACATTTTTGTATATTATTTCATTAGGTTGTGGTAAGCATCGTACGTGTTATTAAATTACCTGAAAAACAAAAAAGATATAGCCTACGTCTAATAACACTAGTAATAATGTATTTACACTTATACTGTTGACTCACAAGACAATAAATACATATGAAAGATGGCAAGTGGTGATCAAATTCGCCTATTGGGTCTGATGATGATTGGAGTGTCCAATCGAAATCGATCACCACTTGCCATCTTTCATATGTATTTACCGTCTTGTGAGTCAACAGTATAAGTGTAAATATATTATTACTAGTGTTATTTGACGTATATATTTTTGTTTTTCAGATATATATGTACTAGGGGCATGAAAGGACTTAATTCAGAGTAATAATAACATAGTAGTGATAAATCTGTGGTGGTCTGTTGCTACGGTATATTGGGAGAAGTAGTATTTTTCTGCTTTGCTACTATGTTTGTTTAAATGTAGTGTTCCTCGTGTGAGTGTCATCATTTGGAAGAAATGTCTACAGGTAAATCATAACAAATTTTACATTCTCAAGCAAGAACAATAGTAACTTCAGTGATCCAGTACTTTTATTTAGAAAAAATAATAATATATGGGTCCTTTGAAAGATGTAAAAAACGTTTTGGAAAGAGTGTTGGATGCCTGCAATGTTCCGTTTGGAACAGTTAAGCGAATAAACATTCAACTAAAGGAAGAAATTGTGCCAAATGAGACAGAACAAACGAGTGAAGAGTGAAGTTGTAGAGGCAAAGTAATTTATAAATAGCAACGCATTTAAGCAGAGCATTTATAAGTACAGTAGTCGAATTTATTATTTTACAACCGACTGACATAAAACCACTCAGAGTTGTCACAATTGTACCATGTTTGGACTCATTTTGTGAGTAAAAATGTTTAGAATTCAGTAATGAGAGTAAAAAATAATTACAATCAACAGTTCAAAAAATGTGAATTTGTAGGAAGGGCTAGTTGGCGATTCATAGAAAACCCATTAACGGCAGGTAGGGCAGGCCGTTCGAGATAGTGTGGCTGCATGAGTGTGAGTAAGGGTCGCTCTACTCCTCCAGGGTGCACAAGACTTTAGACAAATTATAACTGTTCAATCAAACTCCAAATATAACAGTCCTTAATGGCTAACAAATTATAAACCTTTTACCTGGCCAATAACCAGAGGGCTGTCCAGTTTTGAGTCTAGATTGTAATATGTCCCAGAGATCTGCCTGACAGCAACCCAGTGTCTACGCTTCAAAGGGAGAAGAACGAATCCCAGTCGATAATCACTTGGGACATTGAGAATAAACCCTGCAATGCTGTCCAGCCGTAGACAGGAGGGATCTCTGTAAAATTAAAAATAAAACTGGCAACTCATTTTTAATGTTACTGTTTATTGATTGAATTTAATCCATTCCAACAATAAATGTTCATAAACATTTACAAGAGGATTTTTTTAGACAAAAGTTAGAATTAAAATACCTTTCAGCTAGGGATGGGTCGATTCCATCTTCGATTCTCGATTCCACCGATTCTTGGCTTAGAATCGGAATCGGGAATCGATCGCCTAAAGTCGATTCCCATTCCTTCGATTCCAGGTGGTAGTTTTTCCGCCGACTAGTACTTAGCTTATATGGATTATTGTGTAATAAAGTTTATAGTAAGTTTGTATTTATTTCCTGATTCATCCTCCTTAACTGTAAGAAAATGCTGATTATCGGATTCGAGAATCGCTGACAGAATACGCCTACTCGCCGCCACCCGTCAGCTCTATCTATCTATATAATAACGTGTAGCAGCACAGCGAGCAATAACAGCAGTAGCAGTGTCAATCTACGCATAGCTGGAACAAAGCCAAACTCAGTCTCAAAACTTAAGGCCATGGATTAAATTTGTCTTAGTCGAATATTAATTGTATTTTTGTATTTTAATAGGGATAGGCCGATAACAGAATTTCTGGATTTGATACCAGTTCTGAAATATTACTCATGATGATTCTCGATACCGATTCCATATAAAAACTCATATTTTAAGGAAGTTGCCATGGTCAATGTTTTGTTGTTCGTTTAAATTCTGAATCAGACAACCGGCGTAGTTCATGCCGGCCCAAAATTATGGTGCGCTCTCAGTTATTTATCGTATCTAAGTGTGAATCATGAACTAAACACGTAAAACGAGCTTCATGATTTACAATAGGATGAGAAGGCTACTTGTGTTGTTTAACTTAGTCTATGGTTCAACCAGCTTAATTGGAAAATAAAACAACCGTGTAAAACCCTATTTCGTTTGCTTTGAAAAAAAAATTTTTTTTTTAAAAAGGAGAAGCATATATATTTTTTTTTTGGTAAAAAGTAGGCCTACCGACACCATTTTTTTGTCATACCGTAGACCTTTCGTCTTGAGCTTATTCCAAATTTAGCTATATTTCACATCTGTGATATTTTTTCTTATTTCTTCACTCATCTAAAATAACATACCGTTTCTTAACACACATTTTTGGACTTGGACGACTTGGTTTTGGGCGTTGGTATGGCGCAATTAAGTAGGTGCCTATTACCTAACATAATATTATGTTATGGTTGAGAAAGTTTAATTGGTTAGAAAAGACAAAAAGGTGAAGATAATGGTAATTTCGGTAGGCTATATATTTTCTGAACTTCATTTGTTCTGTGGATATGTTAAACTCATCTTCATCACCTAATCATGACAATGTACTAGGCCTACTTGGGAATAATTGTTTTTTGTGCTGTAATTTATGTGAGGGTTATGTTTTTATAATCAGTTATCAAAATTAAATTATAGAGTTTTAAAAAGTCATATATAAATAATATACTTTTTAAATTATGAGTTCGTAAAATCTAAAAAATTTTTTGTTATTCAATTAGGCTACTTCTATGGTATTTTACTCATTAGGACTTTTTATACTTATTAGGAATCGGTGGAACCGGAATTGGGAATTGGGAATCGATTTGCAAGAATCGGTATCGGAATCTAAAAATGAGGAATCAACCCACCCCTACTTTTAGCAAATATTTCAGGCAAGGAAATAGATGGATTCACAATAATTGTTAACACAAAAGCTGGCAGCAATGGAGCAAACAGATCACCACTAACACTGATGAAGGAAGTAAATAAAATTTTAATCTGCTATTGGTATATAAAATACTAATACTGGAACAACGAACAATACAAATTCATAGGCCCTACTTTAATAATTTTAATACAATAATAGGTGCTTTTAATTTAAACAACGATCATATGAAGGTAGGTATTATAAGCCAAGTGTGAATGGAGATGAGTGTAGGATAAGTGTCAGGATCTTGTAGTCTTCTTACTAAGGCTGACATGTTTTTTTTATACAGGACTGATAATTAATAGCCCATTCAGCAATGGCAACCAAGCCTAGAACCTAAAGTTTAAAGTGGAATCCGAACCACATTTTTGCCTTGTAATTTACGAATTGGTCTTATTATCAGGATAGTACTGGGGTAATACTAGTGCGGACTTAAGCACCGGAAAAGGTGCAGGAGATGAGCACAACATCTTTTAAAACAGCTATTCTAGGTATATAGTAATAGTAATGTTTTAATGTTATATTCAACGCAATCTTTTCGACATTGTCGGTCACCGTGTGTCATTGTGTTTTTATAACTGACTCCATTCTGTACAAAATGTGCAATATGAATAAAGTTATTTTGATTGATTGATTGATTGACCGATGAAGGGATAAGAATCAAGTAATCCACACCAGGGAGTATTGTAACCACAGATCAAGCCTATAAATATCCATATTTTGTTACCCCCAAGTAGCTGGAGTACAGGACAACAGCGTTCCGTTGAAACGCAACGTTTGATGGATGCGGTGAAACGTTTAGTGTAGATCTGGCCTAACCTTCAACCATGCAACTAAAAATTTTGCGTTTGAGTTTCAAGATTCACATTTTTTTAGTTTTGGTTTGATACCTATTCTAAATTTCTGGTGTTGCCCGTCACTAGATGATTACACAGTATTTAAATACCTACTTTGTTTGAATTACAGCGAACTTGACACCATAATTGTTTAAATGTAAATAGACTCACTCACTTGCGTTTATCAAACCAGATTGCTTCGTATCCCCTACGCTGCAGAGCAGTCATGATGACATTCACGTCGTAGTTTCCAAGTCCTAGAACTGAGCGGTGGGGGTTGATCCACACATCAGGGGACAACGACTGACAGATATCATCTAGCTCTGCCTTGGTAAATGCTTTCTTCTCTTGGAACAGGTTATTCAATGCATGCAGTGCACATAGTTCTCTGACCTGCAGTCAGCATTCAGCAAAACTTAGCATGTTACGTAAGGTTTAGAGATATGCATTTGTCTTATTTTTTTACAAATTTACTAAATCAAAACTAATTATTTTTGTCCAGAAACCATGTATTTATTTCCCTTGTTTTTTTGAAGTTTTTTTTCTCTCTTTTGAACAGATTTGAAAGTTAGACTGGAACTGGTATACAGTAGACTGGTTCGATATGTTTGGATTTACGATTTAAACAAATAGCAAAGGTAAACCAAAACATGCACATGCACAGGAACTAGAACTACCATATTGGCTAAATAAAGTAATGCATACTTCCAAAACATTGCCATCCCAGTTAATTTTGGACTAACTCCATCTTGTTTAAATTTTTATGTAATGGCAAAATATATCAAACCAACTGGTACTTTTCTTCACTTAAAAATCCTACCTGTTTTTCATGATATATTCCATTGTTGCACGGGTTCATTTCAAATCAGTACTATAGTAACTAATAATACTATTTATAGACAATAATTAGTTAAAACAAAGTTTGTTCAACTTGTGCAGATTGCTTCTCCAAACTCTTAGAGCGTTCACCTACAATCAAACAGAAAATAAGCAACTAAGTCTCACATAAAACAATACAGTATCAAGCTTTTATAAAATAACAAACATTTCACTTGATCCCCAAATCAATCAAGTAACAAAGTCTTGATAGTTAAAGAAAGCAAGTTGGATTTATGTTAGCGAGTTTTGGGAAAGTTTTTTTTTTTTTTTTTATAACAATGCATGAAGGTTTCAAATGGTGTTTTTGAAGCCTAATTTGTTTCAATAACAATACCAGTAAGCTCATCTACTGGTATTGTTATTGAAACACCTAGTCTTTGAAACAGTTTTACTGTCCATTTAAGAAATATTACAATAGGTAGTTTACACAATTGTATCATACAAAAACTAGAATGAAAGAGGGTTATCAGGCTACTTACTGAATAAATATATTCCTTTAATTATTTTTAAACAATCACTAATTCGTCCCTGTCTCAATGTATGATGATTGCATGAGCTATAAGTAAGTTAGAAATTATTGTTTCCAAACATTTTCTTTTGCTTCGACAATTTACCTCTACTTCCCCTGTGTATGTATGAATATTTTACTTTCAAGTGGCAGGTAGGTTCTCGTAATCAGAAAACTTAAACATATTCTCTGAATTTACTGGAACAGCAACAAGTCACATGATCAGATAGCCACAAACCGCTAGTCGTTTCCGGCCAAATAGTCGCAGATTTTATTGAGCGAAACATAGACTCTTATGCATTTTGTCATACGCAATCTCCTCCTAGACATTTAATTCAGCATTGCCTCAAGGATTGATTTATGACAAATGAAATGGGTTTACATTCCTTACGTCGTCAATCCTTAATAGTCTCAGGCAACTAGTTTTGAAACAACTGATGTTTCATTTTCAAGCCTTTGTCGTCATTCATCAAATTATTTAATCACATTGTTGAATTGTGTCATAGCCGTCTCTAGTATAAGGCCGCGGCCTTCGATGTGGCAACGCCGCGACTCATCCCCACCCTGCTCCAACTCCAGGTATTGCCGCCAGCGGTAAAAAGTGCAACATTTCGCCAAAACTGCGCTTATTCACATTGAAAGCTATGAAAATGGAACCAGTTCAATAGATTCATTTTTAGCATGAAATGCCGCTTACAATGTTTCAGATTGTATTACAAAATACTAATTAATATGTTTATATAAACTTATATCCACTACTTAATTCCAACCCAGAATATTATGCACAAGCGATATACATTTGTAATTAAAAACAGAACCATTTTGGAACCTAGTCATAGTCATAGTCAAGAATCTTTATTCATAGTATACATAGTTGTGCATGAATCGTGACAAATAAGTTAAAACTAATGCTTAAAACTATGATAACGCCATTTTCAATTCGTCTAAAGAGTACAAGGACAGGTCCATTAAATATTCCTTGAGACATTTTTTAAAAATGTTGGGTTTTTGTTCTGTTATAATTTTCAAAGGAATAAATTTAAAAAATTCATGACCTGCATTGACAGTCTTTTTTTTAAGAGCTCTAATTTGTGTTTTCCAATTACAAAATTATTTTTGTTACGTGTATTGTAGTTATGATTATTTTCTTTAATTGGTGGATTAAAATTTTTGTTTTTGACAAACATAATACATTCAAGAACATACAAACCATAAACAGTGAGGATCCTTAAATGTTTAAAGTGTTCTTTTGCAGAATCATCTTTGTTCATTTTTAACATAGCTCTGATTGATTGCTTCTGTATTGTCAAAATTTGGTCTAGGTTCAAATTTGAGGTGGCTCCATATACACATATGCCATAAGATATATGGGATTGAATATGGGAAAAATAAATCATTTTTAAAACTTCAATACTGCATAGTATTGACATTTTTCTAATCACACAAAGACCGGAATTTATTTTATTGATAACAAGTTTACAATGTTTGTCCCAAGACAAGTTGCTGTCCAATGTCAGGCCAAGGAACCTTACGGCTTCTGTTATTTCAATTGGTTGGTTATTTACTTCAATATTAGGATTGGAATTGTTTTTGTTTTGTTTTGTTTTGAATGTGACACATTTGGTTTTACTTTCATTTAATTTTAAATTGTGATTATTAAAAAAATCCTCAATACAAGCTATTTCTATTGTGGAAAGCAACTCAACATCTGCAGTTTTCCCAGATACTTTAAGATTAGAGTCATCTGCATAAAGATACAAACCTGTACATGGGGCAAAATTTAGACACTTTTTAAAATTTGTTAAGTAACAAATGAAAAGTAAAGGTCCCAGGACCGATCCTTGAGGTACACCAGATCTTATTGACCCCATATTTGAACTGTATTTTGATTTATAATTGTCTTTAGTGATGTGAGTTATTTCAACAAACTGTTGTCTATTTGATAAGTATGATTTAAACCAATTAAGAGAGTTATACCTGATTCCATTTTTTTCTAATTTAAAAAGTAATAGTTCATGATTAACGCTATCAAACGCCTTCGATAAATCTGTAGCGTCAGCTGATGACGTTGTCATAGCAACGAATTATGATTTGATTTAGTCTGATTTTTGTTTTCTACAGGAATGTACACAAAATTTAATTTCTTTTACTTATTTGGTCGTATTTCATTTGATATACACAAACAACCACGACCAAAATGGTGACCCCGACTACAACCGTTATCTAAAGACTTATTTTCTTTGAAGAGTTTAAATCTTTTGTGTTTCCTCCTTCGAACGATGTCATTAGAAGACCTGCAGACTCAACTCGCCGAACTTAGAACTGTGAATGAAGAACTGCGTCAACGGATTGGACAACCCAGCACTTCTCAAAACATGTCGGTCAACAGAGTAGCCGTGAAACTTCCGCCCTTTTGGCCTGAAAGACCAAGTCTGTGGTTCTGTCAAGTTGACTCGCAATTTCTTATATCTGGAATTACCAACGACGACACCAAGTTTCACTACGTGGTCTCGCAATTGGACACAGGAATTGCTGCTGAAGACATCATAATAAACCCTCCTCAAGGCGACAAATACGGACATCTAAAAAGGAAACTGATTGAACGCCTCTCTGCATCCGAAGAGCAACGTGTGCGGCGGCTGCTGAGTGAAGAGGACCTTGGAGACCGCAAGCCTTCCCAGTTTTTGAGGCATCTTAGGTCTCTTGCGGGCTCGACTCCCCTTCAAGACAACATGCTTCGTCAACTGTGGCTCAGACGACTCCCTCCTCATTCACAAGCCATATTGACTACGCAACTTGAGCTCTCCTTGGACAAACTGGCAGAACTGGCTGATAAGATCATGGAGGTGGCTGACATTCCTTCAACACCTGGTATTTGTGAAGTCTCTTCAGGTAACGCTTCTTTATTAAATGCAATAGAATCCCTCTCTAAACAAGTTCAAGCCTTATCAGAAACCAGAGTACGAGATACACAGGTGAGACCTAGGGGTCGTTCCCAGTCTCATTGTAGATCAGGAAACGAGCCTAATCCCACTAAGAACTGGTGCTGGTACCATAGAAAATTCAAAAACAATTCTCCATGCTCTTTTCAGGGAAACCTCAGCAACAATCCAAAGAGGCCGCAACGGATTGTTCAAATGCTGGCGGCCGTCTCTTTGTGATGGACAGAAATTCACGAACTAGGTTCCTTATCGACACTGGGTCTGATGTGTCGTGTTTTCCTAGACGCCTTATCAAATATAAACGTTTTCCTACTAGCTATTCACTAAGTGCTGCCAATAACAGTGAAATAAAGACTTATGGTACCATGCCTCTCACCCTTAATTTAGGCCTTAGACGCAATTTCCCTTGGAGTCTAGTGGTAGCGGATGTTTCAATACCTATATTAGGTTCAGACTTCCTTTCACACTATCACTTATTACCCAATTGCAAGATGAAATGTTTGGTTGACAAGAAAACGGGATTGAATGCCGAGGGAATAGTTTCTAAAAACAATCAAACTAGTATTAAAGTTATATCTTTCTCCTCGCCATTGGCAGAAGTTTTTTCTGAATTCCCTGATATTATTCGTCCTCCAGGCTTACCTCGTGCTGTGAAACATAAAACAGTTCATCATATAAATGTTACACCTGGTCCTCCTGTTCACTGTCGACCACGTCGCTTACATCCTCAAAAACTGAAAGCTGCCCGGAAAGAATTTGAGGAGATGGTTAAGCTTGGTATTGCTCGACCCTCTGAAAGCCCCTGGTCCTCTCCTTTGCACATGGAAAGGTGAAAATGGATGGCGTCCTTGCGGTGATTACCGCGCTTTAAATGCTCGTACTGTTCCTTACAGATACCCTGTACCACATATTCAGGATTTTTCGTTCAATTTAGCAGGCTGTACACATTTCTCTGCCATTGATTTGACCAAGGCTTACCACCAAATTCCCGTCCACAAAGATGACATCCAAAAAACAGCAATCACCACTCCATTTGGGTTGTTTGAATTTCCATTCATGACTTTTGGCTTGCGCAATGCGGGTCAAACATTTCAAAGATTCATAGATGAAGTTATTCACGGCCTTGACTTTTGTTATGCATATATTGACGACATTTTAGTATTTTCCCAGTCTGAAGAAATACATAAAGAACACCTAAGAATGTTGTTTGAACAACTTTCTGACTATGGAGTAGTTGTAAATCCATCTAAATGTGTAATTGGTGTACCAGAAGTTAAATTTCTAGGTTATTTAGTCTCATCTGCTGGGACACGTCCACCTCAGGAGAGAGTCACTACTCTACAAGACTACCAGTTACCTCAGACAATGCGTGGTCTTCGCAGATTCTTGGGAATTATGAACTTTTATCGTAGGTTTCTGCCTAAGGCCGCTGAATTTCAAGCACCTCTGCACTCCCTACTTAGTGACGCTGATTCAAAAGGTTCCCTTCCTGTGCCCTGGACTCCAGAGACAGAAGAAGCTTTCCAAGCATGCAAGGCTAGCTTATCATCAGCAACACTATTGTTTCATCCTAAACCTGATGCTCCTCTTGGTCTCTTTACTGACGCCTCTGGAGTAAGTGTAGGTGCTTGCCTCCAACA